TACTTTCATGACAAACATGACGAACAATGCATGCGATGCCCTGTAGGACCCGAGAACTCCGTTGCACCCAGCCAGCCACATGGACCCCCTTTCACGTCCGCCCCCCCTCCTCCTCTCTACAGGCCCTGCCTCAACCAGTCGGCGAGCTTCGACTTTCCTAGTTGCGCCAGGTTGTTGACGCCCTGTTCGCTGAGGTCGATGCGGCGCAGGTCGACGTCCTGGGCGGGGGCCTTGCTCACGCGCTGCACGATAATGGTGGGGTCCGTCTCGAGGATGATGCCGTCGTCGATGATCTCGTCAATGGCGAGCGAGACGAGGTCCTGCAGCAGTCAGCTCTGTGTTCTAGATCGGGTCGTGTCCGTGGACCAGCCGAGAGATGATGGACGTACGTAGTTCTCGACGCAGGTGCGTTTGTCGACGCTGGACCTGTCATGGAACGCAATTAGCTCTGGATCTTTTTTTTTTCGGGTAGACCGCAAGTAGGACGGTGCCACGACTCACTTGAACAGGAGATGCAAGCTGTCCCTGATGCAGAGAATGGCGTTGTACAGGAGCCTGGCAAGCGTCAGCTTCACGTGGTTCACAGCTTCACAGTGACCCCCTACACCTCGTTCTCGTCGACGCTGCCGACAATGTAGATCATGACGTCCGACTCCATCTTGAACACTGCACACACGTCCGTATCAGCAACTTGCGCGGGGCCATGTCTCAAGGTCGTGCTCACGGCAGATCCTGTTGTCGTAGAGGATGATATCGCTGGTCTGCTTGGCCGTCTTCTCGAGGAGACCCTTCTCAAACGTCTTTTGCGACTTGACATCGGGGTACGGGTTGGGGTGAGCAGAGCCTGTAGGCACCTCGTCAGCTCGAACAACCGGAAACCCCCAGTTCGCGTCTGCAGCCCATACCTTCCTTGCCGCCGGTCAGGGCCTCGTGGGGCGCATTGTAGTACCTGGGACTGTCAGTACCAGGCGAGCGTCTCGGGGGGGCTCGAGGTCCGTACTTGGCAAAGAGCCTCGTGCCGTCCTCCGTGTTGAGGATGATGACGGCGTTCACCGAGAAGAGCGACAGAGCGGGCGCCATGGTGCTGGTATGTGTCGAGCTTGAGGTCGGATCTGGGTATCTGGGTATCTGGGTATCTGGGTATCTGGGTATCGCGGTGAGCTTCGGCTTGGTGGGTTGCGATCCGTGACAGCACAAGTGTCCAGCCTGGCGCTCACCACCCACTCACGACAGCGCATTGGACACGGTGCTTGGGTGGGGTTCTCAGTGTAGCGGGCGCAATGTTGAGCCGTTCCGGTTCAGAACAACGCCTTCCGGGGTACGTACCTCTTTAAGGGCGGGGGAGCCAAAGGTACTCTTTCCACGTACCGCGTTAAGTGGCACGCGTCCACAACCCCCCTGAAACGCGTTCGGGGTTGCCCTAGTGAGCGTGAAAGCGCGTAGAGTGCCAATTTGCAGTCGTCGCCAGCCCACTTCGACTTTCAACACCCCCCCCCACCCTCCCTTCCTGCGATCATCAACCCGCCATTCACCCTCAACCCTGCGCTGTCGCATCCGCTCTTCATCGGCAATCGTTGTTCGCTATAATCGCCCAACATGTCGTCCCCGAGCAAACGATCGACTCGAAACGCCCAGGCCGGGACACCGCGCCGCTCCACCAGGAACGCAGAGGTTCCCAAGAGCAGCCCCGCGCCCCTCGCTTCCGACGATGCTGAAGCACCCGCCGGGTCGCAGACGCCCCGACAGAACCCCCCGTCCTCGCGCCTTCAGTCGAGCCCTCTCTTTTACCAGTCCTCTCCCGCCTTGGGTGGCAATCGCCGCACCGGCCCCGCGCTCGGCGATGTGTCCTCGCCGCTTCGACACATGACGAACAGCCAGAGTACCGCTACAGCGGCGCCCAGTTCTCCCTTGCGCCAACAGACCGAGACGCAGTCGATTGACGGCGATAGAACACCCCGCGCCAGCGGCACCGTCAGAGGTCAGAAGCGCAGAGCATACTAAAACCTCCACATATGTACTGACCGGCCCCCCGTCGTAGACTCATCCCCCGTTCGCTATGATCCCAGCTCTAGTCCTGGCCGGTCACGGCCAGCCCAATCCGAGCTGCGCAGCGAAAGCAGTGCTCTCTTTGTCGGACAGCGCTCCGGCTCTGCCTACTCCCGCAGCCGCCAGGAGATGGGTCTGTCCGCTCAGCCCATTCGCCGTATTTTCCTGAACGAGTCGGGCAGGATCACGCGCGACGGCAGTGTGCCTGGTTCGGACCCCGCCTCCTTCAGCAACCGCGACCCCAACACATCAGAGGCCAACCGCCTGGGCGGTGCCAACGAAGCCCTTGTTTGGGGAACGAATATTTCCGTCGACGATTCCTTCACCGCCTTTAAGGACTTTTTGCGCCACTTCACAAAGAAGTATCGCATGTACAAGGACGGGGCCTCGGAGGCTGAGGTCAAGGCGGCGCCGGACGCCGAGTCCAAGCCATACATGGAGCAGCTCCAGACAATGCTGCTGCTGGGCAACACGAAAATGTACTTGGACCTTGCCGATGTGAATGCCTACCCGCCCACCCGCAAGTTCTGGCACCAGATTCAGTCCTATCCCCAGGATCTCGTCCCTATCATGGACCAGTCTGTGCATGACATCATGACGGAGCTCGCCGCGGCTGAGGATATGCAGCGTCGGTCCCAGAGTACCGCAGGTCGGAGCTCTCACCAGATCAGCTCGCAAAGCTCCGAACCCGTCTTCCCCAGCTCCGACCGCCCTGATGGAGCCCCTTCGCCGGGCGGCCAACCAGACCAGCAGTCCATGGAAGATGCGGTATCACAGATGGTCTACAAAGTCAGGCCCTATGGCCTCGCGACCACGACGAACCTGCGTGATCTCAACCCATCAGACCTGGACCAGCTCGTCAGCATCAAGGGTCTCGTCATCCGCACGAGCCCCATCATCCCCGACATGAAGGACGCCTTCTTCCGATGCAACGTCTGCAACCACTCGGTCAACGTCGGTCTCGATCGCGGCAAGATCAGCGAGCCGACCAAGTGCCCCAGGCCTCGGTGCGGTTCCGACAACTCGATGCAGATCGTTCACAACCGATGCACATTCGAGGACAAGCAGATCATCAAGCTCCAGGAGACGCCAGACTCTGTACCTGCCGGCCAAACCCCTCACTCTGTGTCTGTGTCATGTGGCCACGACCTGGTCGACTTTTGCAAAGCTGGTGACCGCGTGGAGCTCACCGGTATCTTTCGATCCAGCCCTGTCAGGGTCAATCCCCGACAGAGGACAATCAAGAGCGTATACAAGACATACGTGGATGTGCTGCATGTGCAAAAGGTGGACAAGAAGAGGATGGGCATGGACCCGTCGACTTTGATGCTCGAAGGCGACGACGAGAACGAGCTCGAGGGCAAGGAGGAGACGCGCAAGTTGTCGGCCGAAGAGGAAGCCAAGATTCAAGAAACGGCAGCACGGTCCGACATTTACGATCTTCTGTCGCGATCGCTGGCACCATCGATCTACGAAATGGACGATGTCAAGAAGGGCATTCTCCTCCAGCTGTTTGGCGGCACCAACAAGACCTTCCAGAAGGGAGGTAGCCCCAAGTACAGAGGCGATATCAACGTGCTGCTCTGCGGTGACCCGTCGACGTCGAAGTCGCAGCTTCTCGGCTACATCCACAAGATTGCTCGCGCGGCGTCTACACCAGTGGCAAGGGCTCTTCCGCTGTCGGTCTGACCGCATACGTCACGAGGGATCCTGAGAGCAGGCAACTTGTGCTCGAGTCTGGTGCTCTTGTCCTGTCCGACGGCGGCGTGTGCTGCATCGACGAATTCGACAAGATGTCCGACGCCACCCGCTCAGTGCTTCATGAAGTGATGGAGCAGCAGACTGTTTCGGTGGCCAAGGCGGGCATCATCACGACGCTGAACGCTCGCACCAGTATTCTGGCCTCAGCCAACCCCATCGGCAGTCGATACAACCCCGATCTTCCCGTGCCGCAAAACATTGATCTGCCTCCGACACTACTGTCTCGTTTCGATCTCGTCTACCTCATTCTGGATCGCGTTGACGAGAAGACGGACCGCAAGCTCGCTCGCCATCTTCTCTCCCTCTACCTCGAGGACACGCCAGACTCGGCCGCCACGGAGCTGGACATTCTGGTACGTTTTCTAGCCCTGATACCTTTTCTTGCAAGTGACTGGGCGACTAACAAACTTCAGCCCGTCGAATTCCTGACCTCCTACATCTCCTACGCCCGCGCCAACATCCACCCGACCATCTCACAGGACGCAGCCCAGGAGCTCGTCGAGAACTACGTCGACATGCGCAAGCTCGGCCAGGACGTCCGCGCCGCCGAGAAGCGCATCACGGCGACGACGCGTCAGCTCGAGTCCATGATTCGTCTTGCCGAAGCGCACGCCAAGATGCGCCTCTCGACGACCGTCACGCGCGACGACGTCAAGGAGGCGTGCCGCCTCATCCGGTCGGCGCTCAAGACGGCGGCCACGGACTCGCAGGGCCGCATCGACATGAGCCTGCTCACCGAGGGCACGAGCTCCGCCGAGCGCAGGCGCCGCGAGGAGATCAAGGACGCCATCCTGAGACTGCTGGACGAGCTCACGAGCGCGGGACAGTCGGTGCGCTACAGCGAGGTCGCCAAGCAGCTGAGCGAGGGCGCGAGCGTGGCCGTGGAGCAGGCTGACTTTAGCGAGACGATGCGGGCGCTGGAGATGGAGGGCCTCGTCATGATCAGCGGCGAGGGCGCAAGGAGAAACGTCAGGCGCGTCACGGCTGTGGTGTAAGCGGCGTGTTCGGGGAATGAAGCACGAACGATATGGGGATAGGACTGTGGTTCACGATAATGGCGTATGTGGAGAGGGAACGGCTGTGTTGGGGGGGGTTATGTCATGATCTCGAATCGTCTCACGCAATGAATACCATTTTTTCCAAGGATGCGTGTGAAGCTGTCGTGCTTGTGCTCGTAGTCAACCCGCCGAGTCGAGCAGACCTGACTGACGGGGTTGGCACGCTTGGTTGGGATCTGGCAATCGACAGATTGGGAGTGGATGGGTGCCGCCAAGCTGTCTGCCTCTACTCGTCCTCATCGTCGATCCTCGCACTAACACTTTCATAACCAATGTTCTTTGCTGTCTCGAAGCTAGCAACGTGTCTGAGGATGGAAGCTCGAGCCCAGCGTCTAGACGCCACCACATATTCTTGGTCGCTCTCGATTGTTATGCTGGTGTTTGTTCTCTTAATAGGGCAGTCTAACACCGCTCCGAGCGACTACAAGAAAGGAACAAGTCACACTACGGTCTTCGCTGACTTGAAAGCAACTCATCAGCACTGCACTCATCTTTGTTTGTCATTCATGCGCCACACAACACTGCCCAGTCATACATGGTTCAAGTCACAAAGGGCCGTCGAGCGATGGGTTCTTCTCAGTATTGAAACCAGTGACTCGGCGACGTCGCCTTTGTCGTCCGCCAACGCGAGTAGACGCCTAAGTATGTCCCCATGCGGCATTCCCTTTTCAACAGTCTCGCACTGCGCTCTGATAGCAACCGCCCGCCATCGCTCCATCGCACTGTTTCTCACAACATAAATCATCACAAGCCAAACCAAGTTTTCAACGGTATGGAAATCGGCATCCCCCCCAGCCAGCCTCGTCCGCCGCCGCCGCCCCTGAGATCGAAGAGGAAGCCGATCGCGCTTCACGAACATACCCGCTCGTGGGCCGACTTTGGAGGTCCCCGAACCAGCGCCCCGCCACGACCACCTCCACCGCCGGCTCCGCGGTGGCAGAGCGAGGTGTCCCGATGGCAGACCTCGCCTCCGAGACGCTCCTCTGTCGACTCGTCGGAGAAAATGTCCTTTGAAAGTGGCGTCCTGCCGCCGGCGCAGCGACCTCGTCTCGACGACGGCCACGCGAGCTGCCCCGCCCCGCCCAGCGCGAACGACGATGCACTACACGTCAACACATCGGGGGCACAAGACCGCACGTTGGCAGGAGACCCTGGCGTCCAGGCGATGACGATCCCTGCCTCACGAACAAGCAGCATCTACAGCACGGGGCACGACCTGCCGCTCTCCGAGCCGGCGCGCACGCTGGGCATATTCGAACGCGAGCCCGCGCGGCGCGCGTCTCTGCCCGCGGGGCCCCGCTCGCCGAGCCTGCATCACTTTGAAACGATTCCCGCGCGGCGGAGCAACTACAACGAGCACAGCGTCGACGTGGCGCGGGACCTGTATCACGCAACGGCGACGCAGCTTGCTGTTCTGACGCGGGGTGATGGGCGTAGCAGCACGTTGAGCTTCGCGGACAATGTGGGCCAGACGGGACGAAGGAGGGGTGTTCCGGCGAGGGTCGAGACGGGGGCGATGCCGGCGTCGACGGATGTGGCGAGGACGCCGTATTTGCCGGGATCGGGGGGTTCGCGGTTCGACCTGGAGGAGACGAAGGTTGGTAGGAGGGAGAGATATTCGGGGGCGTTTTCGAGGGTCTTTCGACGCAGGAGTAGTGAAGTGCGCTGTCTTGGTGGAGATCAGCAAATGCCTGAGCGGGATGGCAAGCCAGGACCTATCATCCCCATGAGATCGAGGAGGGCGAGCGGCCCGGATACACCAAGGCCCATCTTCCTCGCCGGTCCTGGGACAGGCTTCGACTCTGGAGTCAAGCCAGGGCCTGCGTCTCCGGGACTGCTGCAGAAAATTAACAGGCAGTGGAACGAGCTGTTGGCTCAGGCCAAGAGGACGTCTGGCCACGGACGTGCCATTGCGGAGGAGCAGAGACGGCGAGAGGTTCTCAAGGGGAAGATCAAGGTCCTGAACGATGGAGCACGGGTGTGACTGGTTGAGAAGGCAGAACGTTTGGACCAGGCATAGCTGGAACTAGGGCAATAGAGATGATTTTGGCATAATGGGCTGGTCAGGCCATCTGTGGTGTCGTTGGTTTGCTTGATCGTGTCCCATCTCTTCGTCGTGTATCCATCCCGTTCAGGCACAGGCACAGCAGAGACGAGGCTGGCAGGAACTCCAAGGCAGCCCCGCCCCCGCATTCGGCGCCCCGGCCTCATGACGGCCCAGCTCACCCGATCGCCGTGCCCCACCATGTCCCTGGTCTGTAGGTGCCTACATGATAGGTAGGCTTGGTAGGTACTTAGGCTTGCTAAGCGGCATACCTAGACACGGACAGGCACCGCTAAAACCCCACCTGCCTACCTAAGTACCCAAGATGGTTGTGCCTGTGACGGACCTGAATCATCTTGTGACGACACCTCCCATATTCGATACTGCCCCCATCTTCTCCCTCTTTCACCACCATGAGCACAGAACCGCTAGCCGCGTCCAGCGACAGCAGCGTACTTCACGAGGCCGCTATTCCACCACACGGCATTCCACTCGGACCTACTGCTCTACCTAAACCCACCGAAGAAGACCTCAGCAACTTTGTCACCTACCTGCGGAAAGCCTCGGCTTCTCGACCCGAGGCTGACACAGGCTCCAACCTCGACCACGATCTCGACTCCTCCTACTGGGATGCCGCCGCCATGTCGCCGCTGACAGCGCAATCGGCGGCCGCCCTCGCCCGCCTCCGAGCATACAGGCCGCCGCCTCTGCCAACATGGGACCGCCTGCCCGCCAGCCGCCGCGCTGCCGTGCTTCTCCTCCTATTTGCCGATCGCCGTGGCGATTTGAGGGTCGTCATCACCATGCGCGCCGCCAGCCTTCGCAGTTACTCTGGACACGCTGCTTTCCCTGGTGGCAAGGCCGATGACGTTCACGAGACGCCCTGTATGTCCACCCCTCTTCCACTGCTCGCTTGCTGCTGCTGCTGCTGCTGCTGCATCTACGCCCTGCCATGCCCTGGATCGAGACCCACCCCCCGCTGACTCGACCCAGACCAGATTGCCCGCCGCGAGGCCTTTGAGGAAATCGGCCTGCCCAACATACATCACCCCCTGCCTGCCCCCTTCCGCATCGAGTCGCTCTGCGAACTACCTTGCAACATCGCCCAGACCCAGATCGTCGTGCGCCCCTGCGTCGCCTTCCTGCACACCGACCAGACGACGGAAACGAGACCGCCCGGCGCGGCTGACGCTCATGCCGACGCCCCTCCGCCGGCCGAGGCCATGATCCCCGTCCTCGACGCCAAGGAGGTTGCCGCCGTCTTCTCGGCCCCCTTCCACAACTTTCTGCGCGCCCAGGACGAGGCGACGGGCCGCACCCACCCGCCGGGTCACTGGTACGACGGCCGCTGGGTCAACTTTGGCGAGTCGCCGTGGCGCGTGCACAACTTCTACGTCCCCGTCGACGCGCAGCGCGTATCTAAGCCCGAGGTGCAGCCCGAGGTGCCGCCCGCCGCGGCGCGTGCGCAAGACGAGAAGCAGCAAGAGGAGGTCCCAGCAGACGCGGATACGCAGGCGCAGGCGAAGCTCGCGGCGAAGCTCGAGGAGGAGCGGG